AAAAACATCGCCTCAGGAAACACATTGAATGATGACAGATATTCTTGTTTTCTTTTCCCTTTTAGATTGTTGTATTCCTTTCACACTTTAGTGGCTGTGTATCTTTCCATTTCCTGCCGCACGATTCGTTCTCTTTTATAGTTCATCGGTGTGGCTGTACCCATGCCGTTTTTATCCAGCGCATTTGTACGTGGCCGTTCCAAAAGTGCCGCGCGTTTCCAGAACCATAGCGCGTTTCTTTTCTCCACAGCCATTCCAGCACGTTTCTTCTTTGTTTTCCGATTTCATGTGCGGTGTCTTTTTTTATTTATTTATTTTATTTATTTTTTTTTATTTTTTTTTATTTTTTTTCCGACCACCCCCCAAACACGGCCCTAGCTCTCCGGGAAGGCCAGTTTCGGCCGTTGGGGGGAGTGATGGTTTAAACCACCACTCCCCCCGCTCACAGGAATCGGCATTTTATGGTGGTGGTGGGGGTAGTGGTGGTTTAATTGCTGGTCCGTTTTCCAATTCCTTGTCTCACAATCCCAATTATCCTGGACTCTTAACACCCCTCGCTTGACCCAAGCATTCCAGGGGGGATGAGCTGCAATAAACTCTCCCGTACTGATCAGTGACATGTGTGTTACAGAAAAGTGGCTGTCACACCACCTCCTCCTATCGGACTGGCATACCCTTGTCTGGTAGAGGTAGTTGGTGCGCCATGCACGAAGAACCTCGACCCACAAATCATCTCTAGTTAGGTCCTGTCTGACAGCCCCCCAGTCTCTGTCGCTTTGATTTACAGAGCGTTGCGGTGCAGTCCAGTACCGGTCCTCCAACCAGGTCAGGGGGTTGATTTTCGTAGAGGCTTGCGGAGCCAAGTGGGCCATCTGCTCAAGGGCCAGAGCTCTCAACGGGAGACCAGGAAGAAACAGCAACCTTTGAACCCATTGGATAGTCATTGCCGTCACCTGGATGACCGGATTGGATAGTCATTGCTGTAACCTGGATGACAGGGTCCAAAATCCCTAGACCCCCTTTATCCTTAGGCTGGCTGGATGACCGCCGACCAAGCCACCCTCTTAATCATCACATTGGGGAGACTGCTGTTCCCCCTGCACAGTAGTGCACTGACCTGCCTCTTCAATGCTTTAAGGCCCACTCTGTGGCACTGTGATGATATTGGAAGAAATCTGGAGGATTTGATTTTCTGTGTCCCTCTGGACTGGAGGCGCATTTTGCGCAAGGGGCCGCAAGTGCGAGTAGGAGATTGGGTAGCAACCCTCGATGATATCGAAAATGTGGCGAAGGTGGGAGAGGTGATTGGGCATGACACATTGGTAAACCTTTTTCCATCGTGAGCCTGACAACCGATTGACAGAGGCCCTTTGTGAAACACAGAGCAGATGGAAAACGGCGGCAGATTTGTAGCGAATCCGAGCGCTCCGGGCACAGGTGGATCGGTATGCATTTTTTGCCCGGAAAACCCCTTGGTACAGCTTCCCCTCAACCCAGAGGAATGGCAATGGTGGAATAGGGGGGCCCAGATCGCGCCCAGGTCTCAAAAAAGATTTGTTTAGCCTATCAGTGAAATCCACATACCGCCTCCTGCAACCGCGGCTCAATCTCAAGGACAGGGTGAAAGAGCGGTCGATATCTCAACTGAACGTGGGGGGAAGGAATGCCATTCGCCCCATTCGACGGTTCACGGTCATGATGAGATCTAAACCTGCAAAATTGGCCTCCCTGCAGTCGCAAATAGAACACCGCTGCCTCCCTACACAACTAATAGACCGAACGTATTTTGAACAAAAGGGATCGGCACTGCCGTGGTGCAAATTGTGCCTGACGTCTTTCCCTCACCGCAAGATACCGGAGGAGACTACACAACATATTTTCCTGCAATGCCCGGGTGCAGTCCTTACATAACGCTGGTGGGACCGAATCCAGGAGCAGCTGGACACGGACACCATGTGGCCCTGAGACTGGAGAGCTCTTCTGTGTGAAGCATGGACCTCCCCATCGAACAGCACCTTTGAAGATAATATGTTTGAAATGGGGAGGACAGCAGTAATCTGGGCTACTTGGCGGAAACGGTATATACATGCCTTCAGCCACTCAGCCATACCTCCCGGGAAAAACGGGATTTGAACCCGCGACTTCTGGCGTGACAGACCAGCATCCGGGTAATAACGGACTTACTGAAGGCATCAGAACGGAGGGAGAAGAAGTCACAGAAATAATTAAACAACAATACATCCAGGATGAACTCTGAACAGAATGGCAAAAAGTGAGAAGTCAGATAGATTAGCTTCGCACGATTAAGGAAATAAACTCAAGCCATTAAACAATTCTCTGAGGATTGGTTGGGGAATGAGTCCACGGGCTGTATGACTTTTGTTCGTTGGGATGGGGGAGGGAATGGGTACGATGAGTTCCAGCGGGACTGTGTCATCTGTTTCAAGGACTGGACTAGGGTGAACTCAACAATACCGCTGCGCCCACCTGCGGAGTTCCCTGACCGCTTTCCATCCCATAGCCTCTCCATGGTGGATTTGCAGTGGTACGGGGCGGTTTAGTTAGGGTCATGGGCTGAAGGGTTTTCGGAGCCAGTTTGCTGGAGCCTGTAAGGGGCACAGAATTCTTCCTATGGTCAGCCTGCGCAGTCAATCCTCTGGTGCCCAGAGAGCAATCAATGCTGGCAGGCACCTTTTTGTTTTATCTTTTCAAGCCTACCCTTCATGTTTTTGATCGGCATCATGGCCGCATCTGAAAGGGAGGACAGGGGATAGGCGGTCATATGGTTCAGGCGCCCAGCAGCAGGGCTGAAGAGCCCCTCTCTTCTTCCTCCCGTCTTGGGCATCCATTCTCTTGCAAAGGTCAATCCCCTGTTTTCACCAATCAATGCTGGCAGGCACTTAGGCAAAAAGCTCAGATGGATCTTAATGGCCTTTGTATAAGGGACGTTGGACCTATTTTCCAGCAGATTCTGCTCCCCGCCAATAGATGGAGCCTTCCCGGGGGAGATAGGGCATCTGCTCATACCAGCACCCCTAGCTCTACCGGGGGTAGTTTCATTTAAAAAAAAAAAAAAAGAAAACGGAAAAGGGAATACTGAAAACAGGACCACCGGAACTTCAGTAAAGTTCTAGAGCTATTATATACTCAAAAGTCGATATCGACCATTGAGAGTTTGAACAGTAGTGCAATTTGAAAACCCGAAGTCACCCCCCCCTCCCCCTCCCCTCTCTCTCTCTCTGTCTGTATAATCCTCTCTCTCTCTCTCTCTCTCTCTCTCTCTCTCTCTCTCTCTCTCTCTCTCTCTCTCTCTCTCTCT